TAAAATTCAAATATATCTATCTCTCTCTCTCTCTCTATATATATATATATATATATATATATATATAATTTGTGGTATGTGTTTATTGTTGAATATGCGAAACCTGCACACATGCACATAAACATATACACACACGTATACATACATATGTGTGTATATATTAGATCCCTTAGGTTCTGAATTTTAAATCAGCTGACTCGAAGTATGTCCATGTCTTTCTCGCCATCAACTTGTATTTCGGTATATGCTATTATTGTTTTTGCGAGGATAGTGAAATAAAATATGGCTCCAGTCTTAGATCCACTGTTGAGAAGAGCGTCATTTGCGCTCTCTCAGTGCCTTTTCTCCTCAGTGAATTCAGTTCTCTCCTGATCACACTGTCATTTTAAAATCAAAACTGTATTTAAATTTATAACGGTGAACTACCAGTACATTTAGATTTTATTATGCAGAATATCTCTTCGGTGTTCATGAAATCATTATTTGGAGGTTTCTAGACGTTCTGCCGATGTATATTGATGAGCATTTTGTACAGTCTATTTTGTATATATTTGCCTTTGTTCTTTGATCATGTATATCCAGCTTGACATTGGACAAATGTTTGTTGGAAGGCCGTGGCTCAGGTGTAAAGTCATGCTAAACAGTAATCTCTCAGCTGTAAATGTGTCTCATACTTAAATCGAGTGCGTTGGACTGGAAATATTTGTGTCAGAGTAGTATCAGAAATTGTGAAATCTGTTGTATTGACCGGCGAATATACTAAAGACTACGACGAAAAGCGTCAAGAAATATTCCTGTGGATATATCCCAAGATCCTCCCTGTTGCACAATATCTTGTCTTTAGTGGGACCGAAGTGTCATATGCGACACAACCATAAAAACATTTTATATTTTTAATTTTCTGCATTGTTTTTTTTTATTTTATTTTCTGTAGAATATATTAACGTCAACTGGGCACCGTTTATGAGAAAAAGAGCACTATAATGCAAGTCATTCCCCCAGAAATTTGGGAAACGGCATGCTATACTATTTGACATTCGCACTGGAATATCCAATATGAACATTTTAGAGAGTTTGGCTTTCAATCTGATGATGATGAAGAAGATTTGGAAAGAGTTAGATGAGTCTAATCATGATAACGAACTTACGATACATTGGAAAATTCACACTGATCTTTCTGATTAGAAGGGAAGTCTCAAATTTCTTAGTGACACAACACGGAGGAATACATCATCTGTCTCGAGGGTTAGTTCTCTGGATCAAAAGGCTGGCTGCTGGAAAACACTATGAGTGGCAACGGAACTCTACACCATGCCACACAAGTAGGAGAAGCAGTCATGGCTGTCATACAATTTCTGCGAACAAAACACATGTTACATCTGGCCACCTAATTCCCCAGACGGCACACCACTCGATTATTATGTGTGTGGCACATTGAACGAGAGACCAACAAAACTCCTTGTAACACCAAAGATAAACCAAAGGCAATGATTATAACGGAATTCACCAACCTAAACATGGCGACCTTCCAGAAGAGTTGCAGGAGATTCCGAAATCGTTTGTAAACCGCGGATGAAGACAATGGCGATTTGACTGAATAAATTTACTCTTTGGTATTCCAAGATATGTTTTCTGAAATTTTTCTAAATACACCTGTTAAAATAGGATGACATTGTTATTTTCCATTTATGTCACATTTAGACGCCAATTTATCTCCCGCAGCATGTATATAATTTCGGTTTTCTTGCAAATTTCACATCCTGTGTACAGTTGTGCCGCCTAATTTTTGCCTCTTGGTAGCAGTCACATTCTCTCTCTCTTTCTCTCTCTCTCTCTCTCTCTCTCTCTCTCTCTTGTCCTGGCTTCCCGAGGAAAATTTATGAAGTGGGCTGTCGACGTTGACTGTTGGCACGCTGATGGCCGACCAGGCCGATGCGGGACAGGCAAGTCCGGCTGCAGCGACAGTAATTAAATGTCTGGTCTGGTATAGCTCTTGAGGCTTCCTGTTCCTTCCTTTCGAGGCGTTTATCCTTCAGGTTGGCCCTGCGATTGTCCTCAAATTGGACACAGCCTGATGGACGGTGCGGTGCCAGGCTTGACGGTCAGCAGCAACTGTCGACCACTGGCGATGGTCAATGTGGCAGGTACCGAGTGACTTCTTGAGTGAATCTGTACCTCATCGATAGACCATCATATTCCAGGAGAATATGCTGATGCACCTGGATTATCGAAATTTCGCATGTATTACCGAGTACAATTTCAAGATTAGGAGCACATAATACAGAGGTATTGGTAGTCCCACGCCGCTTTGTAAATTGAATGGACTTTTTTACATGTTTGAATGGCCTTTATTATTTCTATAAGACGCCTGCATATATATCTTACTGTAAAAAAGTAACAAGGGCCCATTAGTTTTTTGTTGGGTTTTTTTCATTGGCTTGTCTTTTCCCTAAAATGAAACTAAATAAGAAACCTCATCAATACCATTGAATGTTTTTATGTCATTAACTTCGTCTCAAGTACCTTTAGAGACCATTATTAATTATGTCCAAGGAGATAATATGTTGCATTTTTTAATTTCCGCCCACATAATCTCTGCTGAGTTGTATGCACATAACTCCGTCTATGGTTTCTTTAGACATCTTCTGACTATATCTCCACAAAGCATGCAGACCTAATAATATTCCTACAATTGTTCTATGAAATGTTCTAAGGAACTGCTTCCTGTCCTCTCCACAAAACGCCGAATGCCCCTCCTGTTTGTTGGAAATACTCTTCTGTAGGTCCTGTCTCCCAAGATCTCCGGCGAATCTTATGATGCCTGGAAATATCGCCCGCTTATTCTTTTTCCTAATTTTGGCAAAGTAATAGATGTTATAATCGACACCAAATTGGTTAAGAATTTCACTTCACGCAGATTTATTTTTTCAGATAAACGTCATGGTTTTTGTTTCTGCAGTTCAACGGATATGACTGAAT